CTCCCATTGATACCAATGATGGGGCACTATATCTCTTACTAAAACCTGATGGGGCACTATTCCCCCATTGATAATAATGATGGGGCACTATTCCTTTCATTGATAATAATGATGAGGCCTATTCGTCCTATTGATACTAACGATGGGGCACTATTTCTCCCATTGATACCAATGATGGGGCACCATTCCTCCCATTGATACTAATGATGGGGCACTATTCCTCCCATTGATACTAACAATGGGGCACTATTTCTCCCATTGATACTAATGATGGGGCACTATTCCTCCCATTGATACTAACAATGAGGCACTATTCCTCCCATTGATACTAACAATGAGGCACTATTCCTCCCCCCTAATACCGATGATGGGGCACTATTCCTCTCCCTAATACCGATGATGGGGCATTGTTTACTCCCACTGATGCCAGGATATTTTCTTCTCACACTTGTCACAGTCTGGCCCCCCTAAATTTTGAAGGACAGTAAACCGGCCCTTTGCTTAGAACGTTTGGAGACCCCTGATCTACTTAACAGGAGAACTGTTAGGAAAATCAAATTAGTCTTTCTGCTTAGCAGAGAGCTACAATTGTTAGTAGTGCTTTAATTGTCAATTAAAGTAACGCAGTGCCGGAACGCAAAAAATGGCCTGGTCAGAAAGGGAGGTAAATCCTCTAGAGCAAGGGTGTAGAACTGGAGGGCCTCTAGCTGTTGCTAAACTACAAGTCCTATGAGACATTGCAAGACTGACAGTTACAAGCATGACTCCCAAAGGCAGAGGCATGATGGGAATTTCTTTCTACTTTGTTGGTAGTTTCGCAACAGCTGGAGGGCCGCCAGTTTGTCACACATGCCATCCATTGTGTACTATTGTGTTAATCTCTGTGATTGGTCACAGTGATCACTTGGTACAGACAGGCCAATCACAGCCCATCTGTACCATGTGATTAGCTCTGGGCAATCTCAGCTAACAACAATAGTAAATACTGAATGAATCCATTTCATTCAGTAAAAATGTTTGCTTATACCAGTGAAATTCATTAATATAAGCAATCATAGTGTGCAAAAAAAAACAAATACATCCTGATTTCCCAAAGTAGTACAGTGTTACTATGGTAACACTGTATTGCTCTGGTCACAGCTTGTTAAAAAAAAAAAAGAAAAAGAAATGTAAAAAAAAGAAAAAAATATTTTAAGAATTGAAAAAAATGTCAGATTCCCTGCTTGCCACCACACCAGTTATATGATGACACTGTACTGCACTGGTGGCAGTACATAAATAGAAAAAAACTAATTGGGAAAAAAATATTTTTTAAAATTTCTTCATTTCCAAAAAATCGTGATAAAAAATTACAACTTCCAAAAACTTGCCATGCCTCTTACTAAATTCCTTGGACTGTCTACTTTTCAAAAAGGGGTCATGTTGGGGATGTCTGTACTGTCCTGGCATTCTCTGGCCTCAAGAAATGAGATTGGGTGTCAGTACATCAGGACTGATCAATTTCCAGATATATCCAATAGTTTGTGGACCCTAAACCTTCCTACAGATTAAATAATATACTCTAATTTGGGTTATTTTCACCATGTAGAAGAATACATTTTGGCTTAAATTTATGAAGAAAGATTATTTATTTGCAAAACGGAAACAAAGAAAAATGTGTTTTGGCTTTTCAAATATGGTCTTTTTTAATTTATTTAGCAATATGAAAACAACAATAAAAATGTAATATGGATACAGTGTTGCATGACTGCGCAATTATCATTCAAAGTGTGACAGTGCTGAGAGCTGAAAATTAGCCTGGGCAAGAAGGGAGTGAAAGTGCCCGGTATTGAAGTGGTTAAACTAGAGTCTAGCTTCACTTCAAGACAAGTTGACCTCAAAGTGGAACTTAACTATCTGAGCACTACAAGCTGAAAACACTTTTTCATTCATTTTTTATATTCAAAGCAAACTAACCCATCCATCCATGTTGCCGTGCTCACATCTAGCTGTGGCCATCTTGGGCAGATTTATGTAGCATTTACTTTCCGGAATCCATTTGCCCCTAGCTCAGGCATGCAGGCAGGAGGGTGTATTTAGAGAAGAACCCCCTCCTCCCCTCCTCAAAGTGAATGAAATGAAAATGCCCAAGAGGACACATGGGATATAATTTTTCGCCTAGGCAAGAAACAAATTTAAAAATTATCTATCTATCTATCTATCTATCTATCTATCTATCTATCTATCTAGTACAGTACAGAGGATGTTCTCTTACAGTCTTTGGAAATGTAAGTAACGTGTAATGTAAGTAAATATAATGTAACGTGGAAAAAAGAGGGAGAAAGCTAGGACTGAACTAACTTTTATTATTTAGTTTTAGACTGGATTTATTATTTTTAGTCCCGCGGTGTAGTGAACACACTCACAAAACTAGCACCCAGTGCAAAAAAAAAGTGAGCACACAAAAGTGAAGCACACAAAAAAATGCACAGGGTGTACGTCTAGCCCTTCTCCGAAGAAAAAGGGCCCTAGCCCTGATCCCCCAGGGCACAAGGCTACTGACAGGGACTGAGGCCTTTACTAGGTCCACCCGACTGAAACCAGGCAGACCTCTTTCTTCAGGAGAACTGCCGAAGCAAGGCCACCCTCAGTACTAAGTTTGGCTCCCCTGAAGGGAGACCCTATAAGAGGAGGAGACCCTGACCAAAAGGCCACATGCCTCTCCCCCCAAGACTTTCAGGGCAGGTCCGAGGATCTACACCCTACTAATTGTAAAGTGAAAAAAGTGCACACATGCTGTGCAAAAAGTGCGATAAGTGCTTTGTGCCATAGCGTAGTACTATGGCGGGTCGTTCGGCCAGGAATAAAAAATTCCTCTGGTCCTGGCCAAAAGGCCTGGCCCTAGAGGCAGGTGCAAAAAAAAAAAGCATGACTGGTGTAGTGACCAAGGTGCCTAAAACCCAAAGTGAGCTCCCTCACTGTGAGAATTGCGGCACCCCTGGACTGATACTCCAGAGACATATACAACGTGGGCTTCTTTCTCAGCCCAGCCCTCGGCCAGACCAGTGCAGCCCCATCCCTACCAGAAAGGCATCAGAACTTAGAAAGCTTAGGGAGAGCCTTGCCTAAAACCGGGGACAAGCCTGGTGCACCAGGCCAGAATCAACCCAAGAGGAAAAGGCTCCCCCATCACTTTCACCATTCCCACCTAATTACATCCGGGATTACTAACTGACTCCCCAATTGGCGAAGGGAGCTAGGGTTCTATCCCAGACAACTGATAAGAACAGATTTTTTTTTTTATTTTCTTAGTCCGCGGAAGTGCGACAAAACGAAAAACCCGTAAGTGAACAAAAAACGTGCAAAACACCAACACAAAAAAGTGCACTTAGGGGTGTGCTTTTGTCCACCCCCCCGAAGGGGTAGGACCTCTACCCTGATCCCCCGGAGCACAAGGCTCCTGACAGGGACTGAGGTTTCCACAAGGTCCACCTGGCCAAAAGGCCTGGTGGACGCCTTTCCTTGTGGCTAGCCAAAGCTGACTGCCAAGTACTAGGTCAGGGGGCTCTCCCGAAGAGAGACTCCCCCAGGAACAGGGGAGGAAATAAAAAAGTGGACGTGCAATTGTGCACAGGATAGGCCCTGAGGCCTGTAGCATAAAAATTGCCCTGGACTTAGCCAAAAGGCCTAGCCTAAAAGGCGCAGTGCAAGAAAAATATTTGGATCAGTGACCATGTGCACGTTTCACACTTGGGATCCCACCCCCACGTGCTACTAAGAGCACCCCTGAGGCGACCACTCAGGGGGCATTGTTCCGCAGACTCTCTGCCTCCCCGGCCCCTGGCCAGACAAGGTAGATCCATTCTAATCAGGAGGAACTGGGCCCTCCGGCTTTCCCGAGGGAATTACCCCTGGGCCCCAACTACCCGTGGGCACCACAGTTTCTGTTAGCCTTCAGAGCCCCCATCATACCAGCAGGGGTACTATACAGTCAAACCATCCTCGCCAAGAGGCAAGAATGACGGAGGAGCACCCCTACTGGACACTGATAAGAACAGATACTACACTGGTGAGGGATTTAAAACACCTGTCAAGTTTTTATTGCTGTCTGTGCTCCTGTTAAGATGAATCACCCTCTATTTTTTTTCCTGTATACCATTATCACTGAGAGTGAAGGTGAAAGAAAATTCCAAATTTTCAGCACAGGAATAGAAGGGAAATCTGTTCTGATGACCCTGGTGACAACCAGGGATTCCCTCACTTTGGAGGGACTTCCTCTTGCTTCCTGTTGTGGCTATGGGACAGAAAGTGAAGGGAAATCTCCTCAAATTGGTCACAGATGGCAAAAAACTGATAGGGATTATAACCCTCCCTTACTCTATCTCCATAAAGTGTTGCTTTTAGCTTTACTTTAACAAATAAATTTATTGTCCTCTGGACCTGGAAGACACAAAAATAGCAAAAAACATGTGTATGTACAGTAAAGGAAATAAGTATTTGATTCCCTGCTGATTTTGAATGTTTGTCCATTCACAAAGAAACGATTAGTCTAAAAATCGAATGTTAAGTGTATTGTAACACTGAGAGACAGAATAGCAACAAAAAATTCAAAAGAATTGCATGTCTAACAAATTATGCACTGATTTTTATGTTCAGGAGGGAAATAAGTATTTGATCCCCTATCATTCAGCAGGATTTCTGGCTACCAGGCGTCTTTCATACAGGTAACAAGCTGAGATTAGAAGCAGTCTCTTAAAGGGAGTGCTGCTAATCTAATTTTCTTACCTGTATAAAAGACACCTGTCCACAGAAGCAATCAAACAATCAGATTCCAAACTCTCCACCATGGTAAAGACCAAAAAGCTGTCCAAGGATGTCAGGGACAAGATTGTAGACCTACACAAGGCTGGACTGGGCTACCAAACTATCGCCAAGCAGCTTGGTGAGAAGGTGACAACAGTTGGTGCAATCATTCGCAAATGGAAGAAACACAAAACAACTGTCAGTCTCCCTAGGTCTGGTGCACCATGCAAGCTCTCACCTTGTGGAGTGTCAATGATCATGAGAACAGTGAGGAATCATCCCAGAACTACACGTGAGGATCTTATCAATGATCTCCAGGCAGCTGGGACCACAGTCATCAAGAAAACAATTAGTAACACACTATGCCAATAAGGATTGAAATCCTGCAGTGCCCGCAAGGTCCCTCTGCTCAAGAAAGTACATGTCCTGGTCAGGGGCAGCCTGACAACTCATGGGGCCCCCAGGCAATAGGGGATAATGGGGCCCCTGTGTCCTTACCCAAACTCAAAAAAGCCTATGAAAAAGGTACCAGGGGCATCTCATGGTGCCCCCTACTGACCCCAGGCCCTCGGGCAGTGCCCGAGTTTCCAAATGGTCAGTCCGCCCCTGGTCCAGGTCCATCTGAAGTTTGCCACTGAACATCTGAATGATGCAGAGGAGGACTGGTTGAAAGTGTTGTGGTCAGATGAGACCAAAATCGAGCTCTTTGGCATCAACTCAACTCACCGTGTTTGGAGGAAGAGGAATGCTGCCTATGACCCCAAGAACACCATCCAAACTGTCAAACATGGTGGTGGAAACATTCTGCTTAGGGAGTGTTTTTCTGCTAAGGGGAGAGCCAGGGCATTAAAAATGGGTCGTGGATGGGTGTTCCAGCATGACAATGACCCAAGACACACGGCCAAGGAAACAAAGGAGTGGCTCAAGAAGAAGCACATTAAGGTCCTAGAGTGGCCTAGCAAGTCTCTAGACCTTATTCAGATTGAAAATCTGAGGAGAGAGCTGAACGTTCGAGTTGCCAAGCGTCACCCTCCAAACCTTAATGACTTGGAGAGGATCTGCCAAGAGGAGTGGGCCAAAATCCCTCCTGAGATGTGTGCAAACCTGGTGGCCAACTACAAGAAATGTCTGACCTCTGTGATTGCCAATAAGGGATTTGCCACCAAGTACTAAGTCATGTTTTGTGAAGGGGATCAAACACTTATTTCCCTCATGAACATGCAAATCAGTGCATAATTTGTTAAGACATGCATTTGTTTTGAATTTTTTGTTGCTATTCTGTATCTCAGTGTTACAATACACCTACCATTCGATTTTTAGACTGATCATTTCTTTGTGAGTGGGCAAACATTCAAAATCAGCAGGGGATTAAATACTTATTTCCTTCACTGTATATACTGTATATAGGCATCGAGTCACTTCTCCATGGGTGGTAAAGCATGTATAATCCCTTAGAGGTAGAAATGGAAACGTTTTTCTTGTTGGTCCAGAGGAATTTTAGATGATTCAATCCTCAGGAAGCTCCTATGCTCTCAACCTGTGAAATGGAGAAAGTCCTTGCTTGAAGACTGGGGTATAAGACTTATTATTAAAAGCCAGCCCACACATCTACCCAGACACAGAAGAGGAGGACCCAGGTGGGAGAACCCCAGAAGAAGAGGTTGGGGGCCGCTCTGTGATATCATTGAACAGGTAAGTATGAAATGCTATTTTCATAAAAAAAAAAACATGACTTTATATTCACTTTAATTGCAACAGAAAAATACATATAGATAGGACGGGGTGTTGCCATTCGTCCTCATTTCGAGAAGTCTGTCCTCCGCAAATAAATGTCTGTGGCCTGTCTCTTGCGGCAGTGATTTACGCAGTGTGGCAGTAGTGTGTTTGGAGCCGGTGCGTTTTCTAGAAATAATTCATCAGGAGGTGATGCATTTTTCCCAGGCAGAAATGTTAATAACTAGCTATTGAATTTTTTAGAAAGAAAGACACAGCAAGAAAAAAAATCCCTCCCGTCTAGTTTGCAAACATTATGTCCTTGAAGCTTAAATAAAAAAAAAAAATTCTGGTTTCTGCAAGTGTATGTCATAATGTGCTAGTATGCAGGGGTGTATTTACCACAAGGCAAACAAGGCATTTGCCTAGGGTGGCATTTTTCAGGGGGGCAGCACTGCCCTTGAAAGAACAGATGGAAGAAGGGACACACGTGGCATGGGGACCTGGTGGGTTCTGAGAGATGCTGTTGGTTTCATGACGGTGTATGCACAGCCTGACTCGTTCCTGGGGCTGTCCGGAGCTGTGAAGGTGAGTGTATTTTCTCTCTCTCGCCATAGGGGATGGTGGCTGGTGTATATGGGGGGGGGGCAGTGGTAGTGGAAGGCTCGGGTAGAGGGCAGGGGTGTTCTTGGTCAATGTCAGGCTCTTTCTGCAGGGGGGGGGGGGGCGCCAATTTTTGTGTTGCCTAGGGCAGCACAAAACCTAACTACGCCACTGCTAGTATGCAACAAATACAAGCCCATTATGAAAGACTTACCTTAAAATGAAGCCTTCCAGCGCTGCACTGTCACCACTGACAGTGCTTCCATCTTCACCCAGTCTTCTTTCAGGGTTCACAGGCTCTGGCCATTTGAATTGGCAAGCCACGATGACATCACGCCTGCGCATGCATGCAGGAGAGTACAGCCGCGACACAGCTCTCCCAATGCATATCATGCTGTCCATTGAGAGCGCAGTATGCATGTGCCGGTGACTTCACTGGCTGCTACTAAAGTAAATATCTCCTAAATGGTGCAAGTTTAGGAGATATTTACTGTACCTACAGGTAAGCCTTATTATAGGCTTACCCGTAGGTATATATAAAAAAGCTGAGCTTACTACCACTTTAAAGGTTTCTATGTCATTTGTGAAATGTGAACAATGGTTTAGCTCCATTAGGAAAATAACTGAATTGAGAAGGTCAATTGGAATAGAACAGCTTAGGCCATCATGTGCTTGCTTTGCTTGTGGGACGCAGTAAATCATTACACAAGTAATGTGTCATTCTATACAATGAAGCTAACTCAGGTTTGTCAGAACTTGTGATAAATGTTCAGATGAGACAGGAAGCGATATGGAAACCAGCCTTACAATTTAATGTTGCGGAACTAAGGCTTGGGTTTGAAATTCAAGCCCAATAAACTATGCAGCATACTTTTAGTCACAATCTGCGTCAGGGATGTAGATGACCAGCTCATTGCAGCAAAGAATTAACACTTGCAAATCAGTTTAACAATAATGGGAGCATGTGAGATTGCGTGGATACTTCTGACAGTAAGAGATAATGCTTTGGACAGCTGTACTGTGATTTGTTAGCTACTGTAAGCTTAATGCAAGCAGGCATTTGTATATAGCAGTGGTCTCTAAACTACGGCCCAGCAGCTGGATGTGGCCCTATGTTTGCCTTTTTCTTGCCCTTGGGGCACTATTCCTTCCACCGACAAGAACGATATGGCACCATTACTCCCACTAAAACCAATGATGGGGCACTATTCCTGCTACGCAAACCAATGATAGGGCACTATTCCTCCCACTAAAACCAAGAAGGCACTATTCCTCCTATGAAAACCAATGATAGGGCACTATTCCTCCTACTAAAACCAATGATGAGGCACTATTGCTCCTACAAAAAGCAATAATGGGGCGTTATTCCTCCCACTAAAACCAGTGATGGGGCACTATTCCTTCCACTGACTAGAATGATATAGCACCATTCCTCCCACTAAAACCAATGATGAGGCACTATTCCTCCTATGAAAACCAATAATGGGGCACTATTCCTCCCACTAAAACCAATGATGAGGCACTATTCCTCCTATGAAAACCAATAATGGGGCACTATTCCTCCCACTAAAACCAATGATGAGGCACTATTCCTCATATGAAAACCAATGATAGGGCACTATTCCTCCTACTAAAACCAATGATGAGGCACTATTGCTCCTACAAAAAGCAATAATGGGGCGTTATTCCTCCCACTAAAACCAGTGATGGGGCACTATTCCTTCCACTGACTAGAATGATATAGCACCATTCCTCCCACTAAAACCAATGATGAGGCACTATTCCTCCTATGAAAACCAATAATGGGGCACTATTCCTCCCACTAAAACCAATGATGAGGCACTATTCCTCCTATGAAAACCAATAATGGGGCACTATTCCTCCCACTAAAACCAATGATGAGGCACTATTCCTCCTATGAAAACCAATAATGGGGCACTATTCCTCCCACTAAAACCAATGATGAGGCACTGTTCCTCCTATGAAAACCAATACTGGGGTACTATTCCTCCTATGAAAACCAATAATGGGGCACTATTCCTCCCACTAAAACCAATGATGGGGCATTATTCCTCCCACTAAAACGAATGATGGGCATTATTCCTCCCAGTAAAACCAATCATGGGGAACTGTTCCTACTACGAAATCCAATGATGAGGCACTATTCCTTCCTCTAAAACCAATGATGGGGCATTGTTTACTCTCTCTGATATTTGGGTATTTTCTACTCCAGCAGGCCACAGTCTGGCCCCCCTAAAACTTGAAGTTCAGTAAATTGGCCCTTTGTTGGGAAAGTTTGGAGACCCCTGGTTTAGAGAAAGCTTCATTAGTATCAGTATAGGACTACAGAAAGTAGCATGACAAGTCAAAACACATTCATTTCAATGGGTGCCATTATAATCAATGCGACTCAAGTCCCAGCGAAAAATAAAAAGGTTCATGCACTACCTTTCCTCGACTTTGGTGCAACTTGAGTGCCATAGACTGCAAAGTTAATTCATATGTTCCAAGGAAGTCATAAGGAAATTGCAAGAAAGATGCCCAACTTTGGGAGTTGTACAGTGTGGGTTGTGTGGAAGGCAGCAGTGTGAACAGAGCCTAAAAGACAGGAAAAAATGGGCTATACCTAATCGCTTCAATGAGCTTGAGGTACCAATGATGACAGGTAAGGGCTGAGACAAGTATGCACACAGTGGCGTAGTGGTTAGCACTAGGGTCGTGCCCCTGATGACGTTATATGTGGTGAACTGTGTAGGGTGGAGCCAGAAGTCATAATGTCACCACTGCTACCATTGAAATCTTCGGAATTTTAGTTTGTTTGATGCCGATTGCATCCTCTGTGTTTGTAAGTGCTTTTAACTGTTTTAATAAACTTCACATAGATGATTTCACACTATGTGAGCTTGGTGCTCTTTCTTTCTTCTCTCTCTGAGCATCGGCCTGGGGATACACAAGTGATGGCTATCTATTCCCACATACTGACTGCAGACCAGTTCATGTACTCAGCACTGTTTGACTTGTTGTATGCTGAGAGTCACATTCCTTCTGGTAAGCTCCTATGTTTGCCGAGTTGGACTGAGCACTGGGGTGGAACACATATGAAGAATCTTTGTAAACACGGAGTGTTTTAATTTATTTTGGAAAATGTATTTTCACTGATGTATGGACTTTTTTATATTGTGTTATACACTATGGTGCATGTTGTGTATATGAGTTAATTTACAATAATAACTTTATGTTGATTTATTATTTTGACTGATACACAGGGGCAGACTGACCATTCGAGCACTCGGGC